GTCTATGCGTCTGGTTTTTGAGGGGGTGATTATGATCCAGGAATGGTGCACTGTGGTGAGTTGTGTTGTGCAGGGGGTATTGTCACAGCCTCTATTCGGGTACTTTCCAGTATCGCGACGCATGGTAGACATGATGTTGAGGCTGTGTCTTGTGGGTACAGTGGTACACCTCTGGTCAGAGTAAAACTATTCGAATAGCCGTGCCCGTGGTTATGGACGAGTTGAGCAATGTTTTTCGTGATTAGTCTCACACCTCTCACAATAATTATTGATGCTATAACTGGTAATAATTTGTGTAGTTCCTGGTTTGGAGTTAGGTCTGTACAGCCGGGTATGGTTGTTCAAGATGGTTGGGCCTGTGCAGCATGAGTGTGCTGTTCAGTGTTAATTAAAATTTCTGATTAATTACTCTACTGTTTTACTTCTCTTAAATCTTTGCTAAATGCTGCTTTTGCAAATGAGCCTATATTATGCCATCCGTTGGTATCCTTGTGCACTTGCATATTTGCTGTGTGGCTTGTTGAGTATGTCGTATGCTCATTCTTGCAATAATCAATCAATCTCAGTTGAAGAAAAAGGATCCAGAAGGAGAAGACGTTTGGCTTATACCCCAGTTGAGCTGCCTGTGGGAGTGGAGCTGAAGCCATCGCTAGACCGTTATTTCCGCTGCTGTTGTTTTTCTTTTCTTTTGTAAGTATGTAACGTTATTATTATGATGGATTTGTATATTAAATTGTCAGTTTGTGTACCTCGGCTGATTCCTGGACGAGGGTTTTATGCACAAATTAGTTCGGAAATTATTAGTGAATTTCCGGGCGTGACAGTCATCATCAGAGTCTTCAGCAAATTCAACATCATATTGCTCAACACTTGCCTCCTTGTCAACCTCCTCTCTATTGACTTCTACTGAGACAGAATCGTGACCACCACTCAATTCGACAACAAAGTAATCATCTGGATTCACATATTGGCCTGCTACTTCCGTCGGGTATTCAGGGTTGCCTCCGTACGACAACCAATGCACACTCTCCGACAAATGTTCACTTAGATCAAGCCCCTCTTGTACTAACTCCCTTTTCATCTCCCTCACTGCATGCACATCATCACTACCGCAATGTCTCTTTGATGGTCCTGCCTCCCCTAAATCATTTCCAAGCAAAGGTCTCTTCTTCTCTCCTTCCCCCTCCAAGTCTTCTCGTACCAACTCAGTCTTACTTGCATCCCCTCCATGACGAGAAGAATATGTCACAAAATTCTTCTCAACGTAATGATAAGGAGATTTGTTTAGATCCAAATTTTCTACGGTACTTACCAACTTTGATGCAAACACCACTAGAGATCTAAACTGAAGACTCTTTTACCAAATCAAAGTAAACTTCCCATTCCAACTGACCTATCACATTTAATATATACTTATGCCCTTGACCAACATTGTATCTCCCATAAAAACGAATCTCCACATTATCCTCGGTCCATCCAAGAACTTCTTTCACTCGTGACCTTAGTTCATCTAGAGCTGGGTGGGTGGGAAACAAAATGGTCTTAATGACATATCCTCAAACTCAATATGTGCACCAACATAAGATTCCACCACTCTACCACTGTAGTAAACACGAACAAGTCTATCCATCTACACCAAAAAATCAAATGTAACTTTGCAACAAAAATTAAATCTTCATTCCTAAACGTAGTCCAAACCGACATATTATAACCAATCCATAACTTAAATTGTCCCAAAGCTACTACTCTAAAAAAAATATTTAATCCACCTACAACTATAAACAAGTTTACTAGTGCATTACACATCGAAATATTATAAATACTCCGTCATACAACCCAACCTAGTTCTAATTAACTATAATCAATTTCTATAATGCAACCAAAATTTTCTCCCCTTCATATAATTAATGGTTAAAAGTTTAACCTATAGGCTATAGCATCAAGTCCATCAAATTAAAATTACTTTCATGCCTCAACCCTAATTTTTCATCCATCCATCCAACCAAACCATCCAAAAATTAACATTACCACATATATGGTTAAAAAAATCGTGACACCAATGAGTACATTGCAAATATGTAGCACTACAACAAGCCAATCTCAAGAACAAATGCTAAAAATCACAAATTTGGGCAAAAGGGGGGTTCTAGGGTTACCCTCCGATCTACAAATTCAACCAATAAAAACGAAAAAAAAGAGGGGGGAATGGAGGAGTCTACCTTTCTCTTCGATTTCCACAAAAAATCCCGCGAAAAACGGCTTCAAATTGAGTGGATTTGAGGTGGAGACGTGAGGGGGAGAGAGAGGAAGAGCTGCTGCGCTGCTGCTCGGGCTGCTGCTTGGGTGAAAATGGGAGTGGGGAGGAGAAAGGTGGTGAGGCCCACGGGGTTTAAGGGCGCGGCCAACAGAGGAGGGGCGCGCCAGCCATGCTGGCGCCATGGTATGAGGGGCGGCGCCGGTGTGGCTGGCGCCCCCCTTCTGCCCAGTCAGCACCGCCACGACAGCCCAAGTGCCACGGTGGCACGGGCACGGCGCCAGTGTGGCTGGCGCCGCCATGTTGGAGGACGGTGCCAGCCTCTCTGGTGCCCAAAAAGGACCATTCCCGGTTTAAGTTTTCCCAGGAGTTTATTTGTAAAATAAGTTTTCAAAAAGGACCAAAATATAAAAATTTCAGATTATCATGATCTTTTTTTTTTCCAGAACTATTTGTATGCTTTATCCAAGGTTCCAACTTCTGAAGTTTTTTTGTCATGCCGATAGACACACCTAGGTGAACATGTAGCATTATGAGGTCAAATGACCGATGCTAAACTAAGTAGGAGTAAGACAACAGTTAATTTATGTGCTGACAGTAGTAATTATTTTGTTTTTTATTTAATTTGTTGATTTTTTTTCTTTTCCCAACTGTATATAAATTTAGGATACACGGAACGAAGAACTTGGCACATAAAGGGACGATAGGCACCTATGGTGGAGGTGGAACAAGCTAAACAATAGGGAATGAGGAACCGCGGTCATGAGGAAAACCAGGGACAAGAAGCAAATGCTAGAACATGAGAAGAAAAGAGATTTTGGAGAAGATCATCTACATTTGTACAACAACCCACTCCAAGAAAGGTCTAGAAAGAAGGTATTAAACCTGTCATTTTTTTCTTTTTTTATAAGCAAAATGGTGTTGCAAAACAATGTGATCATGTAGAAAGTAACTTATAGAAGCATTTGCGAAGCAACTTTTATATGACTAACAAGTAAGGTTTAGGAAGCTACTTTTACATGCTAAAGAAGTAACTTTTAGAGATAAAGGAAGTAACTTTTAGGTGTTTTAAGAAGAAAATTATGCATGATTCAACAGTTACATTCTCTTGACTTACTCATCCGATCTACGATCCGATTACACCGTTGCGTTCGTAACAATTAAATCTTTATAAAAAGATCTCACATGATTATATTTTGATGAAAAAATACAAATTACTTTTAGATTATATCTAAATTACTTTTAGATTTCATTAAATTACATCTTAGACATAAAAAAGTAAATTCAATAAAACCTAAAAGTAATTACATATATTATAGAAGTAACTTAAAACAAAGAGAAAGTAACTTGTCACGACATTAGAAGTAAATCCATCGTGTAGTAGATAGACTTATGTTTTTACCCCCACAATAGATTTACTTTTAATGTCGTAACAAGTTACTTTACTTTTGTTTTAAGTTACTTCTATAATATATGTAAATTACTTTCAGACTTTATTGAATTTACTTTTATAACTAAGAAGTAATTTAATGAAATCTAAAAGTAATTTGTATTTTTCATATAAAAGTAATTACATTTGTACAGTTTCATCTCCACTTATATATCATCTTCTCTGGTTTTCTTTTTCATATACTGGCAGCAAGGGAATATTAGTAATCTAAAAGTAATTACATTTGTACAGTTTCATCTCCACTTATATATCATCTTCTCTGGTTTTCTTTTTCATATACCGGCAGCAGAGAATATTAGTGTCTTTTATTTTTTTCGTATATTGATAGCTGAAATATTCAAGGTGCTCGATTCGACGAGGGATGAGATCAATGAATTTCTAGTATCGAGAAGTAATCTGGTAGTTGCATCCATCAAGATTATATGGAAAGAGATTATGTGGGAAGTCTTTGAGAATCAGTATCATCCAGTGCCCTATTATCTTTACTAATGGATCAAAGCAACCAAACATATACACGACAGACACTTGCTGCTACATATTTTTTAAAAAACAAATTATGTGGAATTAACTTTCTGGAACTAAGTTTAATGTTTTTGGGGAAGTGACTTTCATGTTGAAGGAAGTAACTTTCTTGCTTGTAGAAAGTAACTTTTACTTCTAGAGAATGTGTATGCAGCTGATGCAACTTTTTGTTAAAGAGTCCATCAAAATGCATACCACATCAGTATGCTACTAGATATATATTTTATGTTTTTGTCAACCTAAGAAATAAACTGCATAGAAGTACGCAAAATCTAAATCGAGAGGCATCTCGTTTTAGTGCTAACGAGCGACGCCAGATGTTGTCCGAATATGTGTTAATCTATAGTACTTGTCTATCAAGTAAGTATAAAATATATTCCTACCACCTATGCTTCAAATAAAATTTTCTCTTAACTTACTCATCCGATCTACAATCCGATTACACCATTGCGTTCATAATAATCAAATCTTTATAAAAAGATCTCACATGATTATATTTTGATGAAAAAATACAAACTACTTTTAGATTATATCTAAATTACTTTTATATTATATCTAAATTACTATTAGATTTCATTAAATTGCATCTTAGACATTGTAAGTTCAAGTGCCTTAATTTGGTTTTGGTGATTAATGACAAATCTAACTATATGAGACTAATAATTTTTATGAGCCTTTCTTTGACTAGTCTCATTTGGATATGAAAGTAAAAATGATGAGAGGTATGTATTAAACTTCACATATTCTAATTTGGTCTCTCTTGTGGATCCAAAATATAGTGTGAGCTTCCTCATTGATCTTTATTGATTATGTGCATATGCGTTCCTTCATATCCATATGTATGCACATCTTGAGGGGGGAGCTTATTCTATATTTTGTTTTTTATAAGATCTCTACCTTGATTTGAAATTATCTTTCATCTCATCTCTCTATATTGTTTATATCGGGTTATTATCTATCACAAAAGAGAGAAAAGATTGAAAGATCTTGGATTAAACAATTTGTGTAATTGTTGCTTTGGTGATAGATGATAAACCGATATTTATGGGATTAACCTCTCTTTTACATAAGTTGTCAACTAGGTCATTTCCCGATAATGAGATGTGGTAGATGGACCTTAATCATGACAAGGATAAAATGCAATGGAGATAAAGCAATATGTACCACTTCTTATCTCCTACTTTTTGATAGGTTCATATTTATGATTTCCATGTTATTGTTATATAAGTGTGAGACTAATGTTTACTTGAGCCTTATCTTATTTAGTCTTCTTTACATTGAGAACATGGAGATCATGAATGTATGTGTTTTTGTTTGTCTTTATCATTGCTACGTGCCTTCTCCATGTGTATAGGATAAACCCCCATTGGTTCTTTATTTATGCATACACTTGCCTCTCTTGTATATTTCTTTGTATGCATATATTTAGGGGGAGCAAATCCTATACATTTATTATGCATGTTCTAGATCCATGTTGTTCACCTATTATTTGTATTAGATCTTTACACTTGAGCTTGCATACGAGTATATGATGCTTGTGGTGTTAATGAATACTCAACATATATATCCATATCTTTCATATGCAATCGGTTGGTCATCAAGTGGAGGATGACAACCGATTTATTGGGACTAATGTTCTCCTTTGAGATGTGCAAAGAAATAGGTCTAATTGTGATGAGGCAAATGGATGATACCATTAGTTGATGGTCACCAAACCAAAGACATCGCCATGTTGACAAGAATGAAAGCTTGTGATGAGAAGAAAGTCTTGAAAAAGGATGGACAAGACCTCGGCATAAACATAGTTCAACCGGATGGTCACAAGTGTTGATCTTGGCTCAAGCATTGACCTCAAGTTGGATGGCGCAAGGCAAAGGTATAATGGAGGTAAGAATGTTTTCTTAGACTTTTCCCGGTCTTGGTGTTTGGTGTAGACCGGATTTGCTGGATAGCCGCCGTACTATCAAGAGGGGTCTATGAAGCGAGCATGTGGATGATCTTGTGCCATATTAGTTCATATGTATGTAGGTGTATTTTGTGGCCTTGTCTAGCCAAGTGTGGTGAGTTTTCTCAAGTCCTAAACAAAAAGAGAAGTGGGCAAATCCTATAGGTTTGGGTAGCCTCATGTGGTTATGTCCGGTGGAGTATCTTTCGGAGTGTGAACCCTTTCTCCCTGAGAAAAGTTGTGTTTCTTGGATGGATTGTTCATGGATTGGATAGCCCTTTGAATAAGCTTTCCATAGAGTCCAAGAACGCCAAATTTCGAGACCCGAGTCAAGAGATATCGCCGTTTTACTAACGGTCGGTTGAGCTGAAAAGTGACCTGCGGTCTGACCGCCTCCATTATGGCGGTCTGACCAAAGTATGTTGTCCGGTCTGACCGCCTCTCCCATGGCGGTCTGACCGCTCATCCTGATTTTGAAGGAGGTCTCGTCTTGGCGATCCAGAGCCGCCAGAGCCGCAGCCGGTCAGACCGAGCCCATGGCGGTCTGACCGAGCCGTGGACGGTCTGACCGGCCGCTACACTGCGGTCAGACCGAGCCGTTACAAAGTAATCCGGTCTGACCGGCCACACTATGGCGGTCTGACCGGTAGAGCACAAAGTTGGGGATTTTGACTCCAACGGCTAGTTTGGTGGTTGGGTGTATATATACCCACTCCCCAGCAGCAAGGGTAAGGTTTTAGCACTCCATTGCATTATCTTGAACCCTTGCAAGAGCTCTCACACCCTTGTGCACTTAGTTTATCTAGTGAGGTGTTGGAGAGTGAGTTAAGCCAATCCAAGTGCATTGCTTCATTGTTAGAGCTAGTGTGGTACTTGATCATCCTCGGCAAGCATCCTAGACTTGTTACTCTTGGAGGTTGCCGCCTCCTAGACAGCTTGTGGAGGTGTTGCCCGGTGACCTCTCCGAGGAGATTGTGGAGGAGGCCCGGCGCCGGTTGTAAGTGGTTTGGAGTTCACCACCTTCGGAGTGAAGGAACAACTACCCTAGTGATCGAGGCTTGGGTAGTCCTCTCCGTGGGCCGGCTCCTACCTTGCCCACCCCTTGACGAAGGGGGCGTGCGGTGGCTTCGTGGTTGAGCGGTGGAGTTGGGCTCGCCTCAACGGGGATTAGGAAACCGGCAAGTTTCCGAACCTCGGTGAAAAATTCCTTGTCTCTTCATTTATTTGTTGCATTTACATTTGAGCAAGTTTACATACTAGAGCTTATTTGTGCTATTATCACCCTAGGCTTGCAAACCTTAACATAGGCTAGCTTCTTTGTGCACTTACTTGAGACTAGTTGATTTAGGTTTTGAATTGTGCAAAACCGTTTTGATTTACGCTTCCGCATACAAAACTTGGTTTTAGCCAAAAGTTTTAAAACCGCCTATTCACCCCCCTCTAGTCGGCCTCCTTGATCCTACAGACATATAAAAGTAAATTCAATAGAACCTAAAAGTAATTTACATACTTGTCACGATATTATAAGTAAATCCGTTGTGTGTGTAACTATGATATGTAGATTAAATCTAATTACTAGATAGACTTATGTTTTTACCCCCATAATAGATTTACTTTTATTATCGTAACAAGTTACTTTACTTTTGTTTTAAGTTACTTCTATAATACATGTAAATTACTTTCATGCTTTATTGAATTTACTTTTATAACTAAGAAGTAATTTAATGAAATCTAAAAGTAATTTTTATTTTTTTCATAAAAGATATAATCATGTGAGATCTTGTTATAAAAATTTAATTGTTTCGAATCCAATGGTGTAATCGGATCGTAAATCGGATGATTAATTTAAGAGAAAATTATATAAGAAGTAACTTTAAAATTCACACCATCAAAATAATAAGTGTCTTTAATTTTTTGTTAAGGCAAATGTATTTCATATTTACATAGGAAGTAACTTTAACTCTTCCTGGAAGTAAATTTTAGATGACATATAAGTAACTTTTGAGACAAATGCATCTTGGATGTAACTTTTCTTGGCACAACTGATGTTTTTTTTCCTCTCTTTTTACTCTTTTGGTGTATTATTAGAAAATAATGAGATGAAGCTCGGTAAATACAACTGCAAGAAATAACTTTTTATGATCCAGACGTAACATTTTGATACACGCATCTCAGATGCAAGTTAACGGTACTGATATTTTTTTTCTCTTTTTATTCTTTTGATACAGCATCAGGAAGAAGAAGATGAAACATGTTGAAAGTAAAAATGATTTTATTGGGTCCTTGGAAATAACTTTATGTGAATTGTGATTGAATCTGCTCTTTTTTTATATGAAACATCAATTCAGATATGTGATCTTTGTGGGAGATGTAAATTTACATGATATCTTTGGTGGTTTGATGCTTGATCCTCTCCAGATTTGTTTTTCTCACTCTTTCTCCGTTGGATCTTGTTCCTCCTTTTATCATCCCTCTTGTTCCTCGTCTTTTTGTCATGAACTTTTTCTGTGTTACGTTCATGGCATTACGGTAGCTACGACAATCCTACCAGTTATGGCCTTCGTGGGCTACACCTTGGCCCAGGAACGATCCTGCCAGTTGTGGCCTTCGTGGGCTACATCTTGGCCCACGAAGAAACACGCACGAGGGGCAGGCACGAGGGAGAGCACGGGTTGTAATATTTCCTTTCAGTAAAATACATGGCCGGTCCTTAAACTTGCGCGCGGGTTTCACTTAGGTCCATAATCTTGCAAATTGCACAGTCAAAGCCACCAACTTGTTTTAATGATTCAGGGCAGGTCCAAACCCCACTTGACCGGCTCTGACCGCCAACGTGGCACGCCACGCAAGCACCAATTTTGCAAACAAGCCCGTCCGCAAACAGTAGCGCCGGAATAATTGCAGTTAACCCCTTGTAGCTACAGTAGAGGCGCGTACAGCACCCTAAATTCCCAAATCCATCCCCTCTCTCCCATTATTCCCCAATCCTCAGGTCTGGAGGGAGGGGAAGCGACGAGTGGCTCACTCCGGGGATCATCGGCGTTTGCTGCGATTCGGGCGGCGCATCCATCTGCAGGAGTGGCGGCGGGCGATAGGCTGCGTGGGCCGGCCCCCTCGTCGGCGTCGGCATCGGCGTTGGTGCAGTGGTGACGATGGACCTCAGCCTGAGGGGGGAAGCTGAGGCGGCGGCGGTGTATCGTAAGTACCCCGCCCTTTCTTGTGATTTAGCATCCGTTTGGATGGTTTGTGGTTGTGAAGTATCGTTTTTTCTATGCAATGCGAGATGATGATGTTGGAGCAGTTAGGATTAAACCTAGGGTTTTAGTTTGTTGTTGATGGGGTTGGTTTTTTTTGCCATTGGTAGGCTCTAATTCGAAGCAGTTCACAATTGAGGTTCATCATGGGGGATTTTTCTATGGTATGGGAGTGAATCGCAGTTATGTGGATGGCAAAGTTAGCTGGTTCGATTATGTCGATTCTCGAGAGTGGGGTAGTTCTCTGCAGTTGGCAGATTTGGTTGCTATGTTGGGTTATGATGCAGGGCCAAGGCTGAAAGTATATTGGTTGCTGCCTGGGAAGAACTTGGTTGATGGTTTGAGAATTGTGGACAGCGAAGTAGAGATTAATGTAATGAATTCAGTGTGCAATAAAGTCAAGAACTTTGTTATCTATTTAGACCATACTGACCATGTTTCAGGCAGAAATCAAGAAGATATCGTAGTGAGCCCAGTCTCTGAGTTGCCTATAGTAATGAGCCCTGTTAGAGGTTGTCAGCAGAAGGGAGATGGGAACCAGGGGGGTAGTAATGTAGGAGTACAAGCATGTGGGGTTGTAGATGAAGTAGCTGATGAAATTGAAGATGATGTTGAATATGACAGTGATGGTAGTGAAGTTGATGATTCAGACTTTGTGGACAGTGACTATGAGTTCCAAGATGATGATGATGATTTATTTGAGGATAATGTGGATGGTGATGTGGTGGACCAGGGCCCAGCTCCTAAGAAGTTCAATCAGAAGAAGGTTGCAGGTGGCAAGCTGAAGGGAAAGAGAGTAATTAGAGAGGAAGGTTCAGATGAGGAGTCAAGTGATGAAGAGTGCTTGGAACTGCCAGAGAATCCAGATGAGATCAATTTGAGGTTCAAGTCCTTTAACCCAGAAGATATGAATAACCCTGTCTTTAAAGTTGGGATGGTGTTCCCTTCTGTTGAGCTGCTTAGAAAAACAATCACTGAGTACAGCTTGAAGAATAGGGTAGACATCAAGATGCCAAGAAATGATAGAACAAGGATCAAGGCTCATTGTGCAGAAGGGTGCCCTTGGAACATGTATGCATCTCTAGATAGCAGAGTGCATGGTTTTATTGTGAAGACCTATGTGCCTCAACACAAGTGCAGAAAAGAGTGGGTTCTTCAGAGGTGCACTGCCAATTGGCTTGCATTGAAATACATTGAGTCATTTAGGGCTGATTCTAGGATGACACTACCTAGCTTTGCCAAGACTGTTCAGAAAGAGTGGAATTTGACACCCTCAAGGAGCAAACTAGCTAGGGCTAGGAGGTTGGCACTGAAGGAGATATATGGAGATGAGGTTGCACAATACAACATGCTGTGGGACTATGGGAATGAACTGAGGAGATCTAACCCAGGCAGCTCATTCTATCTGAAACTGGATGATGGCAAGTTTAGTTGTCTCTATTTCTCTTTAGATGCTTGCAAGAGGGGTTTTCTAAGTGGCTGCAGGCCTATCATTTGCTTGGATGGGTGCCATATCAAGACAAAATTTGGTGGGCAATTGTTGACAGCAGTTGGCATTGACCCTAATGATTGTATATTTCCAATAGCAATGGCTGTTGTGGAGGTAGAATCATTTAGCACATGGTCCTGGTTCTTGCAAACTTTGAAGGATGATGTTGGCATTGTCAATACTTATCCTTGGACCATCATGACTGACAAACAGAAGGTAATATTACTTGTAATCATTTAATGTCTGTTGTACATCATATGTAATCATGTAATTACTGATTATAATCATTTAAATCATGTCTGTTACCTTCTTGTAGGGTTTGATACCAGCTGTTCAGCAACTATTCCCAGATTCTGAGCACAGGTTCTGTGTGAGGCATTTGTACCAGAATTTTCAGCAATCATTTAAAGGTGAGATTCTTAAAAATCAACTTTGGGCATGTGCTAGGTCTAGTTCAGTCCAAGAGTGGAATACTAAATTTGAGGAGATGAAGGCTTTAAATGAAGATGCATATAACTGGTTAGAGCAAATGGCACCAAATACCTGGGTTAGAGCATTTTTCAGTGATTTCCCTAAATGTGACATCTTACTGAACAATAGCTGTGAGGTCTTCAACAAATATATTTTAGAAGCTAGAGAGATGCCAATACTGACCATGCTAGAGAAGATAAAGGGCCAGTTGATGACAAGGTTCTTCAACAAACAAAAAGAAGCACAAAAATGGCAGGGCCCAATCTGTCCCAAGATTAGGAAGAAATTGCTAAAGATTGTTGAGCAGGCTAACATTTGCTATGTGTTGCCTGCTGGAAAGGGTGTTTTCCAAGTAGAAGAGAGAGGGACCAAATACATTGTAGATGTTGTGACCAAGCACTGTGATTGTAGGAGATGGGACCTAACTGGCATCCCTTGTTGCCATGCAATAGCATGCATTAGAGAAGACCATCTGTCTGAAGAAGATTTTCTTCCACACTGCTACTCTATCAATGCATTCAAGGCAGTGTATGCAGAGAATATCATTCCTTGCAATGATAAAGCCAATTGGGAGAAAATGAATGGACCCCAAATATTGCCACCTGTGTATGAGAAGAAGGTTGGCCGGCCAAAGAAAAGCAGAAGAAAGCAACCACAGGAAGTGCAAGGTAGAAATGGTCCCAAGCTTACCAAACATGGAGTAACTATTCACTGCAGCTATTGTCATGAAGCTAACCACAACAAAAAAGGGTGTGAGCTAAGGAAGAAAGGAATAAGGCCTAAGAACAAGATAAGAAGAAATGTAGTTGAAGCCACATAACAGCCTTCAGTCATGCCTCAGGTTATTAAAACTCTACATTTCAGATTATGTTGTGTTAATCCCTTGAACTAACCAATGTTGTGTTACAGGAATTAATGGGACCACAAGCAGGTGGCTCATCACTATTAGCTGAGGTGAATGACAATATGTTGGATCATATGCTGCAGGAGGTAATTTTCTTGTTAAGGTTTAGATCACTTTATTCAGATGTAAACACATGTGGCATTTGTACCATAACTGTCCTCCTTTATAAACCTGTTTAACATTCAGTTTGCTACTTTGCTCTGATTTTTAATTCATGTAGGCATCACAGCCCAGTCAACTAACTCAGGAACATGGTCCACTACCTGACTGTGCTTTCATTCAAGAAAACCAGCCAACAGCTAGACCAGTGGTATTAACCACTTCAACAAAAGAGGGAAGATCAAAGATGACCAAGCCTAAGAAGAATGCAGCTGGCACTTCAAAGAAAAAGAAGGCAACAGATGGCTTGAGTGATGGTGCTGCTGCAAAGAAGAAGAAGAAGGCTTGAAGGAATATAGTACTGCTGCTGCAATGATCCATGCTTGTTCATAGATCATAGGAATACTTTTGCTTGCCAACTCATGTTCATGACAAGAAATAGTGCATGTGGATGTGGATGTGGATGTATATTTTGGACATCAATGTTGCTGCCATGTAAATGTGTCTGTAGTGCCATGACAGCAAACATTCTGGATGTGGATGTGTTATGGTGATGTGCTTTTGGATAAAACATTAAACTGTCATGCAATGAAGTGGCTAGTTCTCAGATCAATTGTGCTTTTCATTTATGACATATATGTGTACTGATGCAATGTTGCTGTCAATTTCAATCTGCAACTGTCATTTTAATCCTGCAAGAAGCAATTTCTTCTCTGAACCTGTATTTGTAAATCCTGAAACTGTCATTTCAAACCTGCCTTTTTAAAGCCTGTCATTCCACACAAATTCCAACACATTTTTCAAACTGAAAATGCTGTAAATTTCAGTGCAAATGGCAACATTCATAATTATTCCAGCCCAACCAAAATACATTCATTTCCAAAAGTTGGCACAACCAAAATACATTCAGCATTCTTCATTCTCCATTCAATTCCACCTTCATTTCATCAAGACAACAACCAGAACACAGACTAAAATAAGAACTCCAAATAACCCTACAACTAACATGCACTTCACTGCCAACAGTATTTCTCTAACAATGGGCACTATAGCTATCAATTTCTTCTCAATTTCATCTTGTCTCCCAAAAGCATCTTGATTCAGATCCAAATGCTGAGCAGTCTTCCCATATGTGCCATCTTCTCCAGCAATGAAGCCATTCCTCTTCAGATAATTGATGTAACCTTCTTCCCAATACCAAAAGTTACACCCAGTTCCATCTTTCTACAGAAATAACAAGCAAACTCAAATCAACACTAATCAGCGAGGTTGCCAGCTAACAAATTCCAACCAAACCAACCAAACTAAAACTCACCTCATGGTCAGGACAAGTGTAAAAAATCCGGCCTTCATTAGCATCTGTCTTCGCTGTGCATCTCACGATGGTCTTCACATTGCATGAGGGGCACACGATCAAAGGTACAACTAACCTATTCCGGCGGGTGCTTAACGACGATGAGCTTGCAGACGCCATGGCTGCAACCTCGCCGCCTCCGACCGCCGCACACCGCCCCCTGTCGCCGCCGCACGCCGCCCTCCGTCGCCGCCGCACACCTATCCCTCCTCGCCTCAACAGCCTGGCTAGCCGCTAACCCTAGAATGGGATGGTTGCGAAGGATTTGGGGATTTTTGTGTCCGCCATGGTGCTACTGTTTGCGGAGGGGCTTCTTTGCAAAATTGGTGCTTGCGTGGCGTGCCACGTTGGCGGTCAGAGCCGGTCAAGTGGGGTTTGGACCTGCCCTGAATCATTAAAACAAGTTGGTGGCTTTGACTGTGCAATTTGCAAGATTATGGACCTAAGTGAAACCCGCGCGCAAGTTTAAGGACCGGCCATGTATTTTACTCATATTTCCTTTTTCGGAATATCGCGCGTTCGGCGGGGAAAACACTTTTGGAAAATCTACGTCGCGCATTAGCGCTATTACGCTACCATGCGCGGTGTAGTCGCGTCCTTTTGATTATTCCAACTTACCCTGAAAATTTCGAGTTTTAAAATCCGGAAACAAAAGTTGGAATAATCAAAAACCTTTTTCAAACTTTTCCCATGCTGGTCTTTATTAGATTTTATTTTCCTTCCCTGTTGTGCTAGTGCCTTAATTAAATTAATTTGAAGGATTATTTGCAAATTCTAAATTCAATTATTAATTTAGAATAATATTTATTAAAGAACCATGATTATAAAATAAAATTAATTAAGGAATTATTCTCGAATGAAAGTAAATACTATTTATCTTTCTTAAAAACTCTTTTATGTATTAATATCCCTTTTGTGAGTTATTTTACGAATGAATTTAAGTGTTAATTAGTTTCTAAAAATCCCTTCTAAGGTTTGATCCCTTAATTATTTTGTAAGCAAATAATAATTATTTTCCTCAAACCTCTTTTTAGGATTTCTTCCTCCAAGGAAATGTTTTGCAAAAAAAAGGGATTTAATATTTTTATTTTCTAAAAACCTCCTTGTGAAGCTAAGGATCTAATTCAAAGGCTTTTCTTAAAAGTCCAGATTGCATGCCTAGGAAGCCTAGCTCGGGCCATTTCCACCCTAACTTGCTCTCTGGAAAGTCTAATTTTGATCCCTCAAGTTTTCACATATCCCCTTCCTTTTCTTCCTCCCAGCCTAGCCCACCCGGCAGCCCGCTTGCCCGGCCCGGCCTAGCAAGCCAAGTCGACCAGAGCCGCCAACACGGCCTAGCAAGAAGTCCCCCTTCTTCCTCTGCGCGTCGAGCGCCGCCGTTCGGCCGTTTTTGCCTAGGCCGCAGAGTCCGGGCTGCCCTAGTAGAATTTTTTTTATTTATACATTTTTTATTAAAATATTTACAAAAATAATTTTTTTTCGAAAATTTACAAATCTAATCGCTTGCCGCCCTTTAGGAGGGCGATTTTTAACTCCCAAAGGGCGGAAAGGGACCTAAATACAAAATTTTTATTTGTGTTCAAACCCTTTCCATCGGTTTTAATTACTTAAAAACTAATAATGCTTATTCGATACTCCAAATGATTTTAAATGGAAAAGTGATAAACTACAAAGTTATAGATCTCATCAAGATCTACAACTTTTATATAAAGTTTATCTCCATCCAATGTCGTTTGAAATGTAGATCTGAGATTTTTTAAAATATGTTTTATATTTTGTAACGAATATTTGGATATCTAAAACATCTTAAATGAAAAAGTTGTTAACTACAAAGTTGTAGATCTCCTTGAGCTCTACAATTTTGATATAAAGTTTTATTTCATCTGACTTTATATAATATAATTTTAAATTATAAAATCATAGAGCTAACAAGTTGTGCTGGAAAATTTGCATTTAGGTCCCTTGCCGCCCTCTGGAAGGGCGATTTTTAAGGGCGGGCGATTTTTAAAAATCGCCCTCCCAAAGGGCGGCAGGCGATTAGATTTGTAAATTTTCAAAACAAAAAATTATTTTTGTAAATATTTTAATAAAAAAATGTATAAATAAAATAAATTCGTCGTGGACGAGCCCGCCTTCGTGCGCTGCCCCTTCCGCCACGCCCTGCCACCGGGAACCACCACGTACGCCGGCACCAAACCCTAGCCGAGCCATCTAACCCTAACCCTTGCCGCGGAGCTCGTGTGCACACATGGTGCTCAACGCAGCGCCACATCGCACCATGCGCCGAGCCACGCTCCAGTGCCGTGTGCCGAACTGCACCGCACCTCCCGCCTCACATGCGTCGGACAAGCAACGCGCCGAGCCGCCTCCCGACCGCGCGCTGCCCTGTCCAACCACTCAGCCATGCGCCACGCCCGGTCACAAGCCGCACCCTCCCTGCGCGTCGCACGCACTGCCGCCTCACACCAAGGGAACATCGCCATGCACTGCGTCGTGACAAACCGCGGACGCACCCTCTCTGCCTCCACTCGCGATCTTTGCCGGACCTGCGGACCCTACCTCGGCGACTTGTGCCCTTGGCTCTGTGCCGTGGCCCCCACTCGGTGACGGCTTTCTCGCCGCTCGGCCCCACGCCGCCACTGTCCCTCAAATCAGCCGCCGCCACGCGTGCCATAGCAACGGAAATAGCCTCGCCCTCCGCCAATCGCTTTGAGGTCTATATATGTAATACTTCGTGATGAATACACTATCGCGTTGAGCGAATCTCTCTAACGAGGAGGCATGCGGATGGTGAGATCAATAGACGGGGCAATCAGCTGGCAGCGCAATAGTGAAGAAGACCGGTCGGCGGGGCCTTGCACGGGGTAATCTGGTGGCGGTGCGAGGGGTACCGAACCGCGACAGATCAACGACGGCCTGTTGGATCACGGCGGCTAGGATTGGGAAACTCCATGACCTGTGGGGCAGCAACGTCGATGAGGCCAAATTCTCGATGGGTGGCGATGGCGACAGTGGAGCAACGGTGGGCGTCAATGATTGTGGGGTAGGCGTGGATCGCAGATGATTTGGGGGAGATCTGCAAAGAGGGCGACGTACAATCGCGGACATAGTTACTGATGAGGAGAAGGGGGAGCCAAATGTTCTGAGTCGTTGGATGTAACACAAATGAATACATGCCGGTGGATTTGATGAATGAAGTATGACGGATGTAGGACTGTGTTGATGAACTATAGGGTAGAATAGTGACATATTTCAACGTATGTCTTCATTGTGTTTCAAAAAATTCATGCAACTAACTGCACATATTCTCTGTCCTCTCTCTCTACTCTATCAATGCAATGCATGCATGCATGCACTTAGTGATTTTCAAAATATTTTTTCTCCTAAATTACTTGTCCGATTTATGATTCGATCACACCGTTATATTCATTGTAACTAAATATATTTTACAACAAGATATTGCATGATTATATTTTGATGAGAAAAAAAACATATGTTTCAATCCGTTCCATTGATGTTTTATACGTGATAGCGGATCACAAAATTTTAAATGTTTCGTTGACTAAATGGGTTGTTATAGCCGATACTGATCAACCAACAATCAACACCATAACTGATAAAACGTACGTAGTACCTGAAACTGAAGGAGACATAGAGGTAATATAGTGATCAAAGACACTTATTTACTGATAGACCTCATTTGAATGCAAGACAATGGTAGGCAGGCAACCACCATCAATTAGTAGAGCGAACAACTGCATAAGAGCACATTTTTGGCTCCTAGCTTGGTGCTTCCAGTATGGAAAAAAAAAGAAAGCTAATCACAAACAAATAAACCGTCGAAACTAAAACTGTAATACCCGTGTAGAATTGGTAGTGGTTTGCCATTACAAAATGTTGGAGCAGCCTGAATCAACTGAGAAGGAAAGACGATGAGCAGTCCATGCACGGCCAATTTTAACAATAACATTCACCATAAAAATGCTATAAGTATGTTTGTTTATGTTGCAACGAAAAACAAAATGGACCTTGGGCCAAGGCTATGGATCTACCTACAGAGGAAGCTGACAAGCCACAATCACTAGTAAATACGCATTGACGATGCTAGACGGTTGTGGCGTTACGTCATGGCGATCGACTATGCTACTTGAAAGTTGTTTTTGATAGCAACACGGTTTCCAAAACATAACTTTAACTTCTTATTTCTATAAAAATATTTATTGAAAAGTGATATGCATAATTTTATGAAAGTATTTTTCAAGACAAATTTATTCATATAATTTTTATATTTTTAAACTCAACAACTCGAGAGTTATTAATGATTTATATTTCTAAGATATAACTTAACATTGTTATAAACGACTTTCTTTACGAATATGAAGTTAGTATATATAAGTAGTACTAGTATGTTGGCTCCCCGACCCCGAGACGGACGACCGCATGGATGAGATGCAGATGGAGATGGAGGCGCAGGCGCAGGCGCATGTGCTCCTCTTCCCGTGGCCACAGCAAGGCCACATCAACCCCATGCTCCACCTCGCCTCCGCCCTCCTCGACGCCGGCCTCCACGTCACCTTCCTCCACACCGACCACAACCTCCGCCACCGCTTCGCTCGACCCCATCACCCAACCCGTCTCCGTCTGCTGTCCATCCCCGATGGCCTACCCGACGACCACCCCCGCGCCGTCGGCGGCCTCATCGAGCTCCTGGACTCCATGCGCACGGCCAGCAGCGCCGCGTACCGCGCCCTGCTGCTTACCGAGTCCTCCCGCTCCCGCCCCGACTCCCTCGACGACGCTCCGCCACCGGTGACCTGCGTCGTCGTCGACGGCGTCATGCCGTTCGCCATCACGGTGGCCGAGGAGATCGGCGTCCCGGCCCTCGCGTTCCGTACGGAAAGCGCGTTCGCCTTCCTGGCGTATCTGTCCGTGCCCAGGCTCCTCGAGCTCGGCGAGACCCCCGTCCCTTCCGACGAGCAGGTGCGCGGCGTCCCAGGGATGGAGGGGCTCCTACGCCGGCGAGACCTCCCGCGTGTAGTGCCGACGAAACAAGACGACGTCGGCGCAGAAGAAGCCGATCCCGTCCCCGTGCTGCTGACCGTCGCCGACACCGCCGCCCACTGCCGCAACTCACGCGCGCTGATACTCAACACCGCCGCGTCCATGGAGGGCCCGGCAATCGCACGCATCGCGCCGCACATGCGCGACGTCTTCGCCGTGGGACCGCTCCATGCAAGGGTCGCCACCAATACCATTGCACTAGAAAAACACGAGGACGACGACGAGGACGACGACGACTACGGCTGCAAGGCGTGGCTGGACGGCCAGGACGACCGGTCTGTGGTGTACGTAAACCTAGGGAGCCTCACGGTCCTCTCCAGCGAGCAGCTGGCCGAGTTCCTCCACGGCCTCGTCGCCGCCGGCTACGCCTTCCTGTTCGTGCTCCAGCCAGATATGGTGGCCAGCTCGTCGGCGGTGCTCCAAGAGGCGGTGGAGGCAGCCGGTGAGAGGGCGCTGGTGGTGGAGTGGGTGCCCCGTGACGTGCACTACGTGCTGCGGCACCGCGCGGTGGGGTGCTTCCTGATGCACGGCGGTTGGAACTCGATGCTGGAGGCCGCCGTGGAGGGCGTGCCGGTGGTGTGCTGGCCCTTCTTCGCCGACCAGCCGGTGGTCAGCCGCTTCGTGGCCGCCGTCTGGAAGACGGGGCTGGACATGAAGGACGTGTGCGACAGGGCCGTCGTGGAGAGGATGGTGAGGGAGGCCATGGAGTCCCCCGAGATCAGGGCGTCGGCACAGGCCATGGCACGCCAGCTTAGGCTGGACGTCGCCGCCGGTGGCTCGTCGTCCTCCGAGCTGCAGCGCCTCGTCGGCTTCATCAACGAGCTCAGCGCCGTGCATGTTCGATCTAGAGACGCCGACGAGAATTCATCGCCCGCGGTTTCACTTCTCACTTGATCAGTGTCGAAATATGAATTCCGCAATAATAAAATGGGGTAGCGCACGAGACCTAAAAGTGAATGGATGCGGAGACAAAGGATTTAGACAGGTTCAGGCCCTCTCGATGAGAGGTAATACCCTACTCCTGTTCGGAGATTTGAATCCGCCGGGTGAATTATAGATCTGACGATCTAGTTGTCTCATGCCCCCTAAAGGGTCTCCTGCCCACCTTATATAGGATGGGGGCAGGATTACAAGATAGAAACCTTAACCAATACGGTATCGGTTTCCTAAATCTACTTTAGAATCTTATCAAACCAGGACTTTAGGCCGTTCCATAATATATAGGGAAACGTAATACCCAAGTCATGATCCGTTACATATTTCATAGATATAAGTTATCCCTTATAACCAGTCGGATAATCACGCCATATGGGTATGGGGTACCCATAATCTCCACAATCAATATCAGCCTTGGGCTCATCTTGTGGGTGGCATGGTATTCTAGTAGTGCGGTCTCTGAAGCTAATTTGGTCTTTTACTGTGTGTGAAGTTCTTCGTATGATCATTTACTGCTTTATTATATGTGCGGTAAACTACAAGTATACTACTCCCTCCGTTTCACAATGTAAATCATTTTAGCATTTTCCACATTAATATTGATATTAATTAATCTAGATAGATATAAAATCAATATGAACGTGAAAAATACATCTATCTAGATTCATTAATTAACATCAATATAAATATGAGAAATGCTAGAATGACTTACATTGTGAAACGGGGGAAGTACAATGCTATAATAAGTAGCAAGGCATAGCATTGCATCACATTTATGATGTAGAGGCTGGGATTTTTATTCTCTTTTTTTTAAAAAAAAATGTGTGTGAAGATATGCTCTTCTATCAATTAAACCATTTGGATTCTTGCTCCCTGCCCTCGCATGCACACATGTGTGTTTTTTTTTTCAGATTTGCTAAAGTATATTCACCGAACTTTCAAAATACAGTAACAGCTAATTAAAAGCCTAAATTCCAAGCTATTTCCTCCGTTTCACAATGTAAAACTTTTTAGCATTGCCCAGATACATATAGATGTTAATGGATTTGTGTTTAGATCCATTAACATCTATATGTATCTGGGCAATGCTAAAAAGTCTTACATTATGAAACGGAGGAAGTAACAGTGAAACTTTTATAACTACGACGACTCATAAATACACCCTTTGTTTCACATACTAGCATTTATACATTTTTCTTGAACTCAAACTTTCTGAATTTGACCAAATTAGTATAAAAGAATCATTAAATCCTTCACGATCTAGATATGTTTTCACTATATATGTATTCGATGTTGTTGGTGTACTATATGCTCTTATATAAACTTAATCAAACTTAAAAGGTTCAACTTGATAAAATTTGAAATACTCATTATTGTGTGTGGAAAGGACGGTAGTGGAAAAAATAAAATAAAATGCTCATATGTGTTGGCTGATTTTATCGGCTAATACTGGTTAGTTAGGATAAGATTAAAATCTCACCAGTTTCCTATCCTAACAAGAAACAAAGTAAGATATAAAATACCAACTAAGAAGACGAAGAAGAAGGAAACAAAGAATCGAAAGAACAAAAACCAAATATCGATTTATGGCTTCAATTCATCTAGCTAGTAATCATCTCAATTCTGTATTTAGAATTGGTGATCATGTACGTGTTAAGCTATAAGCAAATTAGATCTTGAGTAAATAAGTTCAATAATATATATGGTCTTTTATTTGGGTGTTATATAGATCATCTTTATCTTTACCTATTATAAAAATTAAAGGTATTTTTGCCACAATTTTCATACGTCGCTGCGTCCGATTCCTATTTACATCGCGCGACGCCACATATTCATGGCCGATTTGCCATGCCTGTCCTTTCCATGTCGACCACTGCATATGGATTAAACCGTTTCAGTCCAGGGGCAAGAAACAGCCATGGGCACGCATCGGCAGTGGAAAAGCAAGCAGAGACCAATCCATCGGCTCGCACGGTTCCTGAGAAGGCCAAGAAAAATTAATTTGCTGCCTCTGTCACTTGTACAGTGGTTAATTTTTAGCGCACCCAAGCTTGTGCACCAGGAGGTTTTCAGATTGTCGCTTCGTGCACCTTCGTAACAGGGAACAGGGAATCAATTCATCTGCACTGCTTTGGTTCTGTTTGGTAAGTTAGGTTCAGTTTTTGCTACGCTCACATGCCAGTTTACTAGGAGGTTTTTATGCAGATCAAAATACTTCGTTTTTCCACCTAGAGTATCGCGTCTCTTCTAGGTTCACACATGCTTATACCAACAGATTCACTATTATTCCTAATAGTAAGTTTGAAGTACGGTTTTATAATCCAAGTGACTATTTGGCGCACAATGATTTAGGCACATTATGAGGTTGTTTGGAGATTGAAAATTTTTATACTACAAGAGAAGATTCATCTTAAGATGAAGATGAAGATCGTTAAATATGTGATCCGAATTTGAGCATACAATATATTCGGGTTATTAGTTGGCTAATAGGACTTTGTATTACAGTTTCCTAATAGGACTTTGAGTATTTGCATATTAGGACTTTGAGTATTTGCATATTAGGACTCCTAGATTTTCCTTTATATATCTCTTTTATGCTGCGCGAAAAATGATGCCACAGCTCAATATATCTCTTACATTTATATCTAACTCCTCCATACTAATTATTGCCGGTCGATGCACATGATTTTTTTTCATAAGGATTTTCACGTAAAATTGATATCTCTATATCCATCATAACAAGAAAGACCTATTTGTCTAACTGGCTTTATAAATGCATTCATACGTATAGGTTGTGAATGCATGCAAAAATCATAGCAAGGCTCCTATTTTCATCGAGCAAATGATGGTTAGCTCCTTCTTGTCAACCTTGAGCTTACTTTCTAGAGTAGGATATCCAACGGACTTAAGTAATATGTAAGATTAAAATTTCTTTAACCCGTTGCAACATACGGGTATTTTTCTAGTAAATTTAAAAATACAACTTCAAATCAGTAAACTTGTTAAATGTATCAACATAGGTCTAAAATTTGGCGTACGTGCAGGTATGGCCACACGGATACTGGCGTTGTATCATCCTAACCCAACACCGTCTACACCAAGCCATGATTTTAAAAAAATTTACTGCTCTATTTTTTTTTCGCTTCTTGGTTCACCTCTAATTTGGAGAAAATATGTCCATTTGCACGAAATTCAAGTGGATGGCCTTAAATGCCAACTTGCTCATTTTTAGAGAAAATGATGTGGGAGCGCTCTATATTTTTGCACTCGTTACCAGACTATTATATCCGTGATGCTTTGGCGCCTTGCGATAATAGACTTAACAGACATATTGAAGGCATCAAAAGTGAAAGGCATCCCTATGGCCCATCACTGGGTTTGTCAACAGTGACGCGCCGCAAATGCCCATCACTTTTAGGGTGTCACTACTATGCTTCAGTTTTTAGGTACGTAGGTGGTGCTTGAATCTCCTGAAGATAAAGATGAAGATAAAGATTAAGTGTTTCATGGAAAACAAGATGGTAATAACGTGCGATTAATTGAGTTTTAATTATTACAAACTTGAAAAATGGATTAATCTGATATTTTAGAGCAACTTTCATATCGAAAGTTTTCGCACGAAACGCACCGTTTAGCAGTTCGAAAAGCGTGCCACAAGTATCCAAAATTTCATCCAAGAGTTGTTGTAGTGCTATAAGTTACATTAATCCTGTGCTTCACTCACTCCTAGAAATAAGATTTTTGCAGGCGGCCCAAAACCATTTTCACAGGCGGGGGAGAGGACCGCCACTACCATCTCGCCTGTGAAAACAGACCATTTTCGCAGGTGGACCTGTGGCCCGCCTGCGAAAATCATCTCAGAAAAATAAAAAAAACCACGGGACGCCGCCGCCGGCCTCACCACGGCCGCCGCCGGCTAGGGCTCCCCTCCGTCCGCTGCCGTCGGCGCCGTCTTCGTCGTTGTCGTCGCGTTGACGAGGAGAGCCGGCGGCGCGCGGATCTAGAGCCGTCGTCGTCGCTCGTCGTGGCCGGCGGCGTGCGCACGTGGGAGAGGAGGGAGCCGGTGGCGTCACGGTCGTCATTGTCGTCGTGGCCGGCGTCGGAGGGAGCCGGCGGCGCGCGGATCTGGAGCGGAGGGAGCCGTCGGCAGCGAGGAGGGAGCCGGCGGCGTCGCGGTCGTCGTCGTCGTCGAGGAGGGAGCCCGCCGATGGCGAGGAGGGAGGCTTCGGCGCGCGGACGTCGTCGTGGAGGGAGCTGGCGGCGGGCGGACGTGGGAAAGGAGGGAGCTAGCCGGCTATTTTTCTAAGTGTGTGTCAAAGAGAGAGAGATAGGAGGGGGAGGGAAATGAATGGTAGAGAGGAGAGGATAAGGATGGTGGAGAGGATAAGGATGACTGATTTTTTTTGGTAGGTACTATTTTTGCAGGCGGACCACGTAAGGTGCGTCTGCGAAAATCTATTTTCGCAAGCGTCGCTTAAGTGGTCCGCCAGCGAATTTCATCCCGATTTATATTTTTGTAGGCGGTCATTTGGCTCCAAGAGTCATATCCGCCTGCGAAAATAAGACCCCTACATTGGGGAAAATGCTTTTTCTATTAGTGACCGGAAGAGACACCCCAACAAAAACTAGCGTTTGCTGCCAATCTGTGTGCAAAGTTAGTTGAGGAGTCCAGGTACAGCATTACCTCAACAACAAACCGGTGCTGTAGACGAATTCGTTTTTCACCCGAAGTCACTAACACAACAACCAAGCCTATCAGAGAAAGAGATCGGTAGAAACATCGAAAATCAAAATCAATTTCCAAAATAAAAAAACCCTCAAACTTGGATGGAGATTGGTCTGACCGATGTGTAAACGTCGGTTTGCCTGCACTAGCACCGACGGTCTGACTGGCATTGTAGCTCCGGTCCAACCGCTCTACACTACTGGAGAAACCATCTTTGGTCGGTCAGCCAAATTTCACAATAGTCCCGGTTGTATTAAAAACCGCTCAGAAGTATTTTTTGATCTTTAGTCCCGGTTGGTAACATCAACTGGGACTAAATATCATTTTTAGTCTGGGTTTAAAAGATGGCAGGCAGTGTCAGACCCCTATATTTTCTTTAGTCCCGGTTA